TTTTCTCTCTGGTTTAGCAGTTTGTATTGCAAAAACGATAGCCCATGCCACTACTGCGTGGATGATTGAGAGGATTTTGTACCTTCTAATCAAAGCGATGAATTTGAGACCGCTTCCACGTAACTTTTTTCCTGCTTAATCAATACTATAGCAAGAGCACGTTCGCGATCTCTGGTGCAGAAAAATACGTATTTGTTTACTCGTTCTAAAGGAGGCACTCAGCGAAGTGGCCGTTATAGTCATCTACGAAGCGATTTTGCAATTTGACGCGTCGTCCAAAAGACCAGCCCTATCCCTAATTTTCGACCCTTTAATTCACGCCGGCTTTCCTAAACGGAAGCCATGACAGGCTCGCTGCATTCCAAACCTACATCTTATTACCATCTTCCACGGCATTCCATGTAAACTCGAAAGAGTGGGGATTATAGGTCCGCTGCTGGCACAAGATTAAGTAGTCTGACAGCCCCCAATTCTATTACTACACATCGAGGGCACTGAAAGTTTCCGTGAACAAATTCTAGAAGAGGGCTTACATATGGCTACTAGTTCTACTCTTGCACCCAGTTCACAACTAGGACTCACTATTTCGTTCCGAGCCATAATAAAGCCGGCGCTACAACTGAAACGCTGGGATAAAATAAGCGGACATTACGGCAGCGGTGCGATCGCTGAGTAGTGAGTTCGCGTTTTCTGATTACTCACTTCAAATTAGTTTCATTTTTCCATACTGCCTAACCTCTGCTAGCCTTGTTTCCGATCAAAGTATGAAATTAATTCAGTGGTATACATTTGAAACATTTCTGACTATCCCCCATTTCCGTTATCCACAGGCACGCATAGGGAAAGAGTAAGTAAGCACATTTAAAAACATTCACGATCGCTATCGTTTGAATGAAAAGATGTATGTAAATGTATGTGGAATGTTAGCTATCATATAAGATATCCATGTGTGATATAGCCGAACATAAATATAACTTCACCATTATTTTGCGAGATTTAAGAATGGCTTAATTTTTAGCTCTATGTATATCTCTCAGTGATTCGTATTCCTCCGAATTAATGCGTCTTTTAGATCTTACCTCAGAATTTCTAGATTCCGGATCTCGTAAGATACGTGAGGTGAGGTGAGGTGAGGTGAGGCGAGGAGAACTTTTAATATATCGAAAGATAATAGATCAATATATGATTTATTTATAGTTAACTTGTTGGACTTTCTTTTCACTCAATTCAGATTCCGCTTGTTTCTTCAATGAAACTTCGTAGTATATATAGAGTTCACTCTCCTAATTGTTTCATCGAACGATGTGTTATTCATGATAGAACTAATACAAAAAGAAAGAGGCTAAAAGACGAGCCATCTACCCATTGTTTTGTGTTGTTAAATTTAGCAAGAAATTCTCCTTGCCATGCTTTTTCATTGCTGGCTGTAGCCTGCCAATACTTGATAGAAGAAGTACCGGTTTGTTCGCAGCGTGGGAACCGCTGGTAGCGATAGTTCCGCTTAAAGACGACGGCGTTGCACTATGTCGACAGTATCAGTGAAGTGGATAGTGCGACCATGTGGTGCAGCGCCGTGATTGCTGCTTCCGCCGCCGTAGCTGCTTTCACTCAAACTTTTTATAGGAAATCACTTAGACGCATATGGAGGTGTCAAGCCTAACCACCTCTCCGTATTAAAGCGAGCCTGTGCTTGGATTCCCTTTTCACCCCTATTTCATCTCCTTTAACGGCTCCACTCCCGTTTCTGCTGCCATATCCCCTAGCGGCTGGCTGATAACTACGCCATTGCCAGTACAAGAGGGGGAAGTTGGGTGGCGCGAGTGTGAAGGTTGGTCTTGAATCTGCGTCTGAAGATATCGTTCGATGGGGCTGTAGAGAGGAAGAGTGGTGCTCTACTTTGACAGGCGAACCGCGCCCATTTTGAGACGGCTTCTATGGCTCCTTTTAGACGTCTCTGCAAACGCTTCTTTCTCTCCTCCCCATGTCCGGCCCCCTTTTTCGGGATAGAGGCAACCACTGCCGCAAGCTGCTCCGATCCTATTTGGGAAAATCGGACACGATATCGCAGCCGACGTCTCCACTGCCAGCTTCGTCGACTCCTGCCCGAGTCGCTGCCGTAGCCAGCGCCTTTAGCAGGCATCGGCGACTTCTAGAACCTAGAGGTAGAAGAAAGTTGGCGCAATAGAAAGGCTTCACCGATATTCAGTAACACTGCCCCTTTTGCCGTTCTGCCGTATCCTCGTTCTCGCAACCGATTTTTTCCTGACTTCCACGAACTCTAACCACCTTAAGGCGATTTAACGGGCAACCTTTTGATGGTCCCCTTCTCTCTTTTAGTTTCGACTTAAATAGTTCTTATAAAACCACATGCGGAACGTTTGCAAAATAGGTGGATAATCGCAAAGCGTAGTTAGCTATATCAGCGGCCCAATTATCAAGATATTTAGGATTACTAATTAAACAATATTGCCTTAACTGTTATATAGTTCCTATCTTTTATAACATTATTCAGTAATAATCAATCATCATTCAATAACCACCTGCGTGCGCGATACCTTCTACCTATGTTGCCCTGCAAGTATAGGACGCCCTGTTTGGGGTGTATCTGCCAAAAAACCGTCCCCTCTATGGATCATACACTACACAAGTATTCAGAATCTTCATAAATCTTAGTATAATTTCACTATACATATCAGTGTATATGCTAAATTTGTTCTTCTAGTATTTCAAAGGTCATTGCTAATATATGGTAATAATGAGTACTAATAGTGAGAGTAAGTGAAACTCCTAATTTGCATGCCATGTCAACATACCTTCATAATTCCTCAAAGCCTTCAAACCCAGTAGAAAAAATGGGATGTTGCATTAGCATGACGTACATGCATATATAGTGACGGTTGGAAATGGATTATGAATGTTTAGTAACCGAGACCTTTGTCTATCTGCACGCCTCCTGTCAGTCCTTTGTGATTTATCATAATATACGTTTAACTCTTGAGTGACATCAGGATGCGGTAAGCAAACCCTTTACAAAACCACTGAAAATTTGCCACCGACTTTACGGCTGCCAAGGCTTTAAGGGCCGCACGTGGCTCGAAACAGATCTCTTCACCTTCAACATAGAGAACGTCTGATCTGCTGAAGACCTCTGCGAAAAGAACGTCTTTTTGTGCATGCGAGTTGTAACGGCAACACTGCAATAGGAGGAAAGAACCCCGCGGTTTGGGCTGCAGGATGAAGCGGCTGCGGCAGCGGGAAGTTAATGTGGGGATGGGAACCCTGCAGACTTCGGCTGAAAGCCGTAGCTGAAGAGAATAACAAACCGTCAAGCCGCCTACATCATGGGCGGGCTCAAGTGTCGGCTCGGACTCAGGATGGTGACGGCTGCGTAGTGACAGTCCGCTGCATCTAAGAAGTCCTTCCTAGTTCACATATGAGCTGCAAACATTAGACGAACCATCAAGGGCTGGCGGCAACACCAGCTGACTGCGAAAAGTAAAGTCGAAGCGGGTAAAAAAGAATTTCGCGTGGTATCGTGCAGAACGAGGCATGTACGCCATCAAAGTGTAATTCGACGCGATGTTAGGACGAAGCGAAAGAAAAAAGCAGTGAAGGACTATGCCGCACCACTCTGTATATAGAAAGAAGAGATCTAACATCAGTCAATGACGTGAACGCCGACCGACAGACAAACAGGCCCGTCCAGCAGTCGACGATATCCGATGCTCACTACTTCCCTTTGTGAAGACAACTGGTAAAATGAATAGACCCTTTTTGCTTCCGTGGCTAAGAGGCCTGCATGCCGAGTTCCAAGATAACCCGTGTATGGCCTGCCCAACGTATAAATATCACAGTTTGTGACGAACTTACATTTTGCAAACGGCAGAAGGCAAATATATACTAGCCTCTGTTCCGTTTGATTTACAATAAACAGACGGTCAATTTGAAACCATGAACTGCTTCGGGTGGTAATCCACAGATCAAGGCGACCATTAAACGACGTGTCCTAATTTGGATACAACGAGATAAGTGAAAACTTTACTCTGACCGGTCACTTGAAAACGATATCACATGGCCTTTACAGCGACCAAATAGATCAGCTTATAATTGAAAACACTGAATCCATATGCTTTCCGTTAGATTGAATTTTGCTTTGCCAATAAGAAAGAGGTACTGTTCCCATAGGGTCGGTGATAGCAGGCTACACATATACAAATACGCTACGACGATAGAGACACGAATGAACGAAATCAACCTCTAATACCGAAGTGTAGCTATTAGATTTGCTCTGTTACATGATAGTATAGGTCGGATGCTGTAAATGTAAACGTAGCGTATCGTAAATGACAACTGTCATCAAACAACTATAATCGAATTATTCAGTGTCTGGCCTGAAAAATGACTGGTATCACACCGTGTTCTGTTGAACCGTTCGTTGATCATTTCAGCTTCATGCAAATCTTCCTCAGTTCGCGTCTCAAGAGTCTTTAGCTTCGCATCTATAACGATTAGTTTCAATGATAAATCCGAAAGGACCGGAATCGTTTGCCTTATATAGAGCTATACGCAATGGCTCAAACAGCTTACAAGCAATAATACTCCAATGCGAAATCGAAAGCGTCATTTTTACACGGTGTGTATGTCTATAAATTGCTTCATTTCATGCTAGGTAATTATGTGTATGTTTTGTCTGTACAAAGACCCAAAGGTTGTGTCGTGATGAAAAACAAAAAAACACTGGCATTTTTTTGTCTCTGCAACAAACATTAGCAGTCTCACCATCCGCTAGAGAATTTCTTTTCGGCTTCAGGCAAAAAGACGACTGATATCGGGTTGACACTTTGCATATTGCGTGCATATCGAGCAATATGTGCTATGTTATTAGCGGAGGAAGGTGTTCGTGGACGTCTATGTTATGATGCGAGATAAAAAGACGCTGTTCGTATGAAAAATCCACGTGTACATGCTCAGATCGACACTGAATTGGCTACAGTCTGACGCTACAGATCTGCTATATTTACGAAGCTGTTCGGCCACGAAAAAACTAGCCAGATCATTTGTCATAGAAAGCATGGAACCGTTGTGCTCATCGTATTTTTCCCCCCGAGTGACACGTTGGCCGCAATGAGCGGGTAGTTCATCCGGGATGGTAAGTCGAAAATTGATAATTTATCATTTACAGGTAGATATCGCAGTCTTTTATTTATGAATTAATATTAACAAGCCGCAACCTAAATGCGCCACGCACTTCCACCGAACTACCCAGTCGATTGAATAGCTTCAATATTTTATTTATATATATATATATATATAAATAATTATTGCGCTATAATTATTGAGATTATAATTATTATATAATTAATCATTAAGATGCGGCGTGCGAGCTTTTATCCCGTCCAAGTTTCTAGTCAACACTTCAAAGAGACTCATATATTTGAAACTGGCTGGGTGCCGAGTGACTATCCGTGTACGTATGTAGTATACACTGAGATGTCGGCTCATGAACGTATTACTATGTGAAGTAGGATTCACCACCTTCTTCTGAACTGAGGTATATCGTTTCTTAGTATGTCACTTGAGTTTATCAGATTTGCTCTTGAAGATGCGCGTTCGTTGGACAAGACACATTGAATGGGCTGTAATCTCCACAGATCTGCAAAACCCGTTTCAGAGGTGTGCCAAACACACGGCTATGTTCGACGACGTATTTGTTGCCGGACCAATTAATCGACAAATGATGTGTTCCATTGAATAGAGTGTACGACATTCTATCTGAGAAAGATTTTTAAGGAGAGATATCGCTATTGGTCCTCTTAGCATCGAGTCCGCTATGATACACACCCAAAAAAAAGGTAGTAACACTGCCTGATCCCAATCATCACGATTCATGCTTGTTGTTGTTGTTGTTGTTGTTATTGGGAAGAGTAGGCCGATTGCATGCGAAGCGGAATAAAAAAATTCGTTGCAAATACATTGTATCTTGATAAAAATGCAGCAGTTGTTTATTAAGTGGGCCTTTACTGAAATTTATCTTTTCGATACTCGGATTATCGAGCGAGGCAGCATTCCTGTATATCGTCTTGTAACTTGCAAGTCTCCTGTTACTATCATTTTCTCAAAATTATCTAACCGTTATACTGTTAAAATTATTACAAGATAACCACTGACTTCATCATTAAAAGCTATTACTTCCGATTGAGTACCGACGCGAAGACCTACATTTGTTTTTACCACTTGTATACCTCTGCAAATATAAAGCCTAGATTAAAAGTTAGTTCGATCGAAACTGCATTTGTTATTCTACATATAACGCATTTAGAGATCTCTGGGTCATTTGTAGAAATGTTTATGTTAGAGACGTATATTGAACGACTCTGAAATCAGCTCGGCGGGACGAGTGGTATCTGCGAGTATTTGTAGATATGATAAATGCGTTTCTTTATTCTTACTTGCTTACTTTGTTGCTACAGATTTTTCATTATGGAAAATTGAAAAGTACATACATCTGTGTGTTCGACGCCTTTCGTAACGCGAAAATCCCAAGTTAGCATTATTACAGCTGGAACAAATAGCCAAACAGACGATTGCCGAAAGACCGAAAAACATACTTATTCTAAGAGAACATTAGTCGGCAAGTAAACGACGGGAGACTTTGACAGATTTACTCTTCGTATTATATACTATGGTCAGGATTTGTATCGAGGGTCATTCTTTCATCGTCTGACAAGGACAGAAATTACTTAGAGCCCGTTGGCAATAAGCATATTTCGTCAAGTGCACTGGGGCATATTCCTAAAAATGTCGATACTTGTGGATCTAAACATACATCAGTGGTCCCGGACAAGAATGTCTTGTTTTGATACACACATTTTTTTGTCACACGTCAAGCCGTGTTTTTGCGGAGAAACATCTATTATAGAAAAGAATATCGAGGAGACTACGCATTGGAATTTTATTTATTATATGTCCGTATATATAAGTGTGGATATATATCCGCACGGAGACGATTAACTTTCTGTTTTCCAAAAAATAACAATCTGTTTGTGCGTGTTGTTCTATAGTAAAATATAAGTCCTCTAACAGACGTTTGTTTGCATTACGCAATGTTCATAGATGAATGTCACGTGATTTTCTTCGTTTGCTCTGTCTTAGACAAAATACAGTGAGATACAATGTAATCACACAGGGAGACATGAGCTAACGTGTTTCTACTGTAAAACCAATGCTTTGTTTTTTTTTTTTTGATTAATTATGGTTTTAATATGTCTCTCATTGTTTTTGCTATGGAATAGGTCTAAATCGATGCCTTCTAAAAGAATGTCGCATCTGTCAAATCATGTCCTTTTCTGGCTACTTATCAGTCTATTTGTATTTATTTATTTATTTATTTTTTGGGTTATTCGTTTTTTTCTTTCTTTTTTAAGTTGTCACTTCAGTTTTGCTTCCAGTGTCGTCAACAGACTTATCACGAGAAGAATCTCCAGTCTTCATATCTAGTTACGCTCTAGACCACAGTTGGCTATGACAGGCAAATTTTCTTCCTCTGATTCGATATCACGATTGCATATACACACGTACTACGCGGGCAAGGCTAGGCAGAAGTCCACAGAAACGAGCGGTCCACTAAGTGTCTCGAGCTTTACGCCCGGTGCTGACCTAAAGCGCTACTGCATGCGGCCAATCGCTCTACGCTTGCTTTCCAACCTGGACTACCTAGTGTGATCTTGGGTTTAGTGGGAAAAGGGGTTATCACGGAAAGAACTTGCGAGGATAACGAAAAAATAAACTTCATGATCGAGAAAAAGGGTTCAGTAACTTACAGCCTATTTGTGTTGTACTTCAAACAAGAACAAATAGTTTTCTATACATAGATGCATATTCCGGCGTCAAACATTTGAATACGTAGTGCACTGGCATACTAGTGTTACACTCAATAGATGTTACTTAGTATATTAATAGTTATTTATAACGCTTACCACGTAAGAAGATAATGTAAATAAACGTTAGGTATATTAAGTTGGCTGATTGTACCAATGGTTATCGTGCAGCTGCACGTAACGAGCGCAACGGTACGCTGGAAAACGATAAGCTAATTTTTCGAATTTTTTTTCGAAAAATTTTGCGCTTTCACATGCATATGGGTACAATGAATTCGATTCCATATATTATCTTTGAAATAACCGTATCCTGGTGCTCAGAGCAGGTGATTGATGACAATAATAATGGTAATATTTGGGAAGCATTCAGTACCAGTAGGAGTTCTCTCCGTAAAACTCTCAACTCGGTAAAACCCAGTAGAAGCTCTGGCAACCTAGCGAACTATTCCACCAATAGGTAGTCAGTTCCCAGTTCGCTTTATATGCCAACCGTGTGTAGATTACAGTTGAGTATATATATATATCATTTTGTAATACAGGAAGGAGTTAAACCATTTCTCCGCAAACAAGCTGTTATCTATAACAAGCAGGAATCAAAAACACGAAGTTCACAATGGAACAGTATTCGATTAATTCCCTCGCCGAAACGTTCTACTGAAATTGGCTTCCGGATCTTTCTCTCAAAGAGCTCCGCTCGTTTAAAAACAAATGGGAAATCGCCATTTACGTAAGCTCGAACGGAGTTTTAAAGACGTTCTGTTAGCGATTTTCTTACATCTACAGTTGGCTTTAATTGTGCGTAAAGAACACCGATACGCACGTTCTGCTATTTCCCATTACGCGATATGATATGTGTATAACTATGTAGGATTTTTGCCACTGATACATTGTCTTTCAGGACAGAGACGTGTACGTCGATGAACCGTCATGTGACAATCAGACAGTTGCAAGCGGTCAAATATCTGCGTTTCGTCATATCCGCGTGAAATACTTTGACCCAGAACGTGTTATCGAACGAGGACAACCCTTTGCAGAATGGCCTAATCGGATTATGCTGTCGAACCTATCACAGCCAGCGACGAGAGAGAGCAGTAGACAGCCTTCGAGCTGGCAAGGTGCGTGTGGCCATGATTCCAGAAGCATAAAATCGCCAGCCAGACCCATTATCGAGGATAGTTTGAGAATAGTTTGTAGTGCCGAAGAACACTGCGGCCTTGAGCAATTGCAAATTGATTCAAGCGAGATATGTGAGAAAGCCATGGAGCTTGTCGCATGTGTTCATGCCAAATGGCGCGCAGACATTTTTGATAAATATCGACCAGGACCTGTCCCTGACTCGGAAATACTGCAGATGGAAAGCGACGCGCGTGACCTTAGGGCGCGTTATGAAGATGCGCTCTTTGTTTTGGCACTTACTGCAAAGGCGCAGGAAGTTCAGGAGGGCATTCGCCAACTCGATGAAGAATTCAAGGAATCTACATCCACTGATGGCCTATATAAACTACTGCCCAATAAAGATCTGAATCCATACTGCGCTAACTGAGTCAGCAGTGAACCATTCGCGTGGATACACTTCGAGCTGTAGCTCTATAACGCATTGCCTGTATTAGCCCATGAAGACCCTCATTTTGAGCCTAATAGCGTAAGGTATACATACATACCCTGCTTCTCACTGTACGGAGACAGTGCTACATACTTATACAGTTCCCGTAGGTACCGATGCGGCGATATCTAATTACCATATCTAACCTACTCTAAAAATAGCTATTTTGTAGTTATGCCAAGAGGGGCTTGGCTCTTCGACTCAGAGACAAACAATTTTCAGCATAAAGTAAGTAAGCATATACTGTTGTATAGGGGACGTATATAGGTCGATAGGTCGCAGACGACGGTGATGATGACGTTAAAACAATGTCAAACTGGAATGGCTTGACGGTGGTGGGAGCTTGTCATATTTTAAAGGTGATTTCCTTGCATCGTTATTAGATCCCTTACAAAATGCAGGCAATCGTTTATCATTTATGAAACGTATAATGGAGCATGTGACACGCGTCTGGACCCCGAAAACGCCACTTCATTGTCACGCTTCGTTCTATTGCTTCAATTGCTATTTGTCTAGGTATTAGACACGGAGCACACAATGGAAGTCGATCGATACAAGAATACTTTGTAAATCATACTAGTAAACATGTGGCGGGGAAATTATGGACGTTTCCAAAGGAAACTCGTTACAATTATTATGTAGCTATTCCATGCGCATGCAAACTTCTCCAAAATAGAAACCAACGACTACTTTTTGTACCGAAGCTACTGGTCAAAGGCACGATGCTAGGAGCGGTACGAAACGATATAATGAACTACGATATAGAATGCCGCGTGTTTGCTGTGCATATGACTGAATAGATAGATTTCCTCTACCTCTGTAAACATAGGTATATAAGAGACAAGAAAAATGGTAAAGCGCATTTGTATGCCTATATTGGAAATTTCGGCTAAGACTGTTCTCCTATTTGATGTACATATTTATATTTGAACGTTATAAATAAAATCGTATCTCTGAGCGACATAGATAATGTACAGCCTTTTGGACTAGTGCAACGATTTTACGAAAATATATGATTATTGACCAGTTTGTTATTGCCTTTTCTTTTCCATCGTATTGGCCACGGTTTAAAGCAATGACCGTCCTAGCCACTTATCGATAAGCGTCGGGTTATGTTACGATCCTAATTAGGGCCCTATTAGGATATAAAAGCCCTAGCCTTTTGCTGGTATGTTGTCACACAACAGCGAACAGTTTATTCCTGTGTATATTCTGAAATTACGAATATTTCGTCCATTTCTATTGTGTTTGAAAACAAGTAAGGACTAGCAACCTTTGAAAATATAAACACAGTACTTAATTATAATAGAACAAATCTACCGCTCAATCAACACTGTTTGGTATGCCCCGTCCGTTGAACTCTTTTAGCGATCGCGATGACGATAGCGTTTCGCTTAGTTGTCTAAGATCAGCACTTGAAGAAGGACCTCACTGGCCTTGGTACGTATGCGTCACGCCGGCCTTTTTTAGCAATGTGGGGTTATTATGGTATGTCCGTTACCAGTCCAGCGTAATTGTCGAAATGCCCATTTTGCCTTAACTTCCGCCTGAGTCTCCCACAGGTACACTCACTTAGCAACTATATGTGGATGATGAATTGAGTTTTCTGAAGAAATTTTCCTCTGGGTCGAATAAGTACTATATATGTATTCACTTAATACTATGATCATCGGATTAATCTCGCTTGCGCATATCAAGGACATCTAGCAAGGATTCGTTGACAAGTGTTAATTCATTTGTCATAGACGAAAAGTTGCCGTTTGGAGCACCGTTTGTTGTTAGCGTTTTTTTTTTTTACGGTGACGTTGTGCTAAATAGCTATGTCTCATTTATAATTGGACGGGTATGTCAATACACAAAAATTAGCGCATCCGTGTCTCGGAGAACCCTGCCATGGGAGTTGGGCATCCGTTTCACTGACCAATAATCATCGTGTGATGCGACTTGCGGAGCAACAATGTCATTCTCTTCCTTGAACATGGTGATAAAGCGACAGTATTGGTAAATATCAGATTCTGTCGTGGTATATTGCGTGCCATGATGCGAGAGAAACAATCAATCAGTATGAAACCATATCCTTAGTATGGCTGATCTCGGCGTGTGGCGTTGACATCGATTGGCCACCTGGGTTTTGCAATTCGATCCCACCCGTTTTTCTCCGTGGGGCCATTTGAAGAACAATATATAGAATAACACCGAAAACGATCCGCGACCCGAAGCACTGTATTCGTAAAATTGGCGCTGAAGTACACATGCGACATCGTGATTCAAATTGAAGTAAAACACTGAATATTGCAAGCGATTTCTGGGAGGATATTCGACGAACATTGTTTCCCTCGTGCGACGCAGATTAAACTCCCTGGACAAAAGTTTGTTTGTTATTTTCCACTCTAGAAACATTTGAATAGACCCGATACTTTCAACTAATCCACTTTTAACTTAGGCTGTTTAGTATTAAATAAGAGATTTTGAATTCCCTTTTTTGAACTTTCTTACAAATAATTTTTTTTTTCCACTTTCAATTATTATTATTATTACATCATTATTATGTATGGTAACTTACTTATTTCGCTGATCTATAAGTACTACAATCTATAAAATTTCGTATCTAAGTAGTTGTCCTATTAGAAAGTTGTATTGTTTTTGGAAAAATGGTCATCTGTGGGAGCAAGGTTCGACGAGTAAGATGAATGATGCAGTTTCTGCACCTTCTCCACCATAACTTTTATTGTGTGAAGTCGACGGAATCGAGGGCTGTCGTACGGGCGCTTTGGCCTGCTCCATAATCTAGGTCGTTAAATGCATAGTCTGTTTATAGTTGCCTCCAATTATTGAAAATACGACGACCTTAACTCATGAAGCTGTGGTGAAGAACACCTGGACTAGGCTACAAAAAAGATAGTTTTAGCTATTTCAGATTACATCTGCTTAAGAATAATCAGCCGCTGGTCCAGCTGCATTCACCTATTAACGTGGTTGAATCCAGCTAGGCAGCGATTATCGTGAAAGATCAATTTTTACTATAAGTGGAAGCAAAGAAGAACGAATATATTTACGTTTTCGCTTTTAATCCTCGCTCTAATTATGCCGCGCTCATTTTTCCACGTTATCAGTCTAATAAAATGGGCAAGTGTTTTATTTTTTGCGTACATTAAATACTGAGAGCAAATATCCGTAAAAAATATGTCGATTTTCGTCACAGGTCTAAACAATTTCTCATGAGACTCATTTGCAAATTTAAAATGTCCTCCTTTTTCAACCTAACAAGCCGTGGTGCTTTTATTAGTAGATGCTTCATCCAATACAGGATTTACGCATCGAGCTGTCACTGTCACTATAGTATCATGGTTAACTCTATATATATAAAGAGGTCCTTGCGTCACCGTATAAAGACAGTATATACAGACGGAGAGATGAGAAAACATAAGCTAAAGCGTCCTTACTCCTACCTATCTTTTGCGTGTTGTCAAGCAGGCTCAATACAGTATAGTTTGACTCTACTTTTTCTTCTGTTAGATTTAAGGGTCCTTCTGTGCCACGTGATTGAAGCTGCATGGACCGCAGTGAAATAAGGAAATGGTATTTGCAAAAAGTCTCCATACTACTTGCACCTGTTTGTTGCGGCGGAATATCGAATAGGGAGGAAGACTGCCCTAGTCGAAGACGTTGAGCTCAAGCTTCGTTAGAAAACCAACATCTGCTTACGACCTGGGACTTCGACATCAAAAATGCTTCCTTTATGCATAGACGGCATCTTGACGAAGTTTAGCACTACGTTCTGAATTCTCATCTAATTTGCTATAAATCGTACTACATCCAGTATTGCAATACCAGCCTACATATCAGTCGGTAGCTCAGCCCAAGTAAAGAAGCTCCTATGATAATTTGACCGATGGTCCTCGGTGCTTTGGCGGTCGCGCTTAAAATCATTGTCTTGTCCTTCGATGCTAGGTTTTCTGTAAAACAATTGCTGGAAGATATTACTTCATATTGCCGTTGGTATCTTCAGTAAATTCAGGTTTGTGCGGTTTATTGAAGAAGCATTTATACACACATTCTCACGCCGGGTACAAAGGAAACGAATTCGGCCGTGTACAAATTCATGGTAACCCTTTTTACACGGTCGAACCACGAGCTACCCGGGAGATGCGGTAGCGTCGACGAGCGCAATTGTACAGATAATGCTTATAGGCTGATTTGTATCGGGCTTTTTATTATAAAAATATGCTTAAAGCTGAGGATCACACGCAACAGACCTGTGGTGGCAGTTGAGATTCCATTGATCTATTCATGTTCATTACGCTCGCCGATGGATCGCACGCGTTACACTCGCTGAGATTAGCGCGAGATTTTTAGAAAAGATACCCTTGAGTGTTTCCTACAGACCTCAATCAACGCCGGAACTCCGTTAGCGTTGAACGATTTCGGGCTAAAGCGTGGGCAGTTCTAGGAAATATATTGATCTTACTTTGTTAGACATTGGCCCGCATTGAACATCAATGCATACCACCACTTATGTGCGGAAAAATGACAGGTTTTACCACCCTTTCATGCTCCAGTGATCGGTCCTTGCACCACATCGACGACCAGCATGGTCGTACTAACTTTTGACTTAGCGCTACATCGCAACGACATTATGAATCTGAAGATTCCATTGAGTCTAAAATTCGTAGTACAGTGCCGCTTATTGACAGATGGCGTAGCCGAACCTGTTAGCATTTTTGCTCACTGGTAACATCTCAAAATCTGACCCCAGAAAAGAGCTTGCAGCGCACATCTTCACTTTTGCTGCCACTGAATTAACTGACGGATTCAATGAAACATGCAGATGCATTTTTGCCAGGGGGCGAATTTCATACGCTCTCACTGGCAGCGTCGTTGGCTAACTGCAGGAGTCGGTACCCGTGATCTCTTAGCGCGATCACGAGTACTGACTTTTCTCGTTAAAACGATGAGAGTTAGTAAGAGATGAGTGTATCTCGATTGTGAAGAGCCTAAGCCAGCTATAACGATCGCGTGTAAAGACGTCGATATTGGCCACCACACTACCAGCATTTGCTTTCACTTCGACGAGTTTGTAAAGAGTGCTACCCATTATAGTCGTTCAAATTGTCCTGATAGAAATGAGCTAATATTTGAGCTTAATAAAAACGCATTACTATGCATGTCCCACGCCAGCTGACAAAACTGTAACCCTAATAACGGCAAAAGTGACGACTGTTTCAAAATTCAATTAGCCTATCCAGTCTACTGACCAATATTACGGATGTGTTTTACCATAAAAATAATAGCTACTTTCAGACGTATTTTCTCAGACGCTCTATTGCAATAAAAAGAAAAAGTAATTATTTTTTCAGGAAACAGGTTGGTGCTCACGCAGCGGTAATTTTTGTTTGTGTAAAACAATATAAAAAAAAAAGGTGACAGCATTGAAGCGTATGTAACCTACAATTTTAACATATACTCATGTCGAGAAAGGTATAAAATATACTAAGTACGTTAGGAATAGCAAATATTATAAGAACAGTTTTCTTGAGAATCGTGTTATTTATTACGCACCGTATTTCGTTAGGAAGATACATTGATAGTATCCAATTAAATATTATTAGGAATAATATCAGCTCCATGGATCAGAGAGCCATCTCAGCGCTAAGACCTCCGTATCAATCGTAGAGGTGGCGGCGCCGATTTGTTACAGAATGAACGAAAAATTGTGTAATACCTAGGTATCTTTATTAGTCGTTCATGAAATAAATGAGCTTGACTACGATGGTTTTTTTGCTATAAACAGCATCTGCTTGTAGACGGTAGATGTCACACAACAATAAATGTACGCTATACTTTAATTTTATTTACACTTCACCCTCAAGCTTTTGAGAGAATTTAAGATTCCCTCTTTTATTCGCCACAATCTTAACCCAGGCTACTCTGTCGAGATG